GGCCGCCGCAACAGTTGTATGCACGACAATACATAGCGTATATAATTACGAGCGTCACAGACACAATCAAGCACGAACGGTCATGGGATTGTATTTTCTATTTTTGTAACTAATTAGCATTAACAAGTCGACGTACATTCATCATACTCAACGATATTATGTATATCGTCTTTTTATAGCAGTGGGGCAACGAGCACTCGGCTCACCTCACCGACCAACACCGGGGAATTGCAGGTACGTTGCCGGCCTTTTAAAAATGAGTAAGTTCGTTTCTTGAAGATCCCTTAGTCGTATCGGTCAGCAAATCGCACAATGGTGGTCCACCAAGCATCCAGATGGTGTGGAATTTCAGAATTAATCCGAACAATTTCAGTGGTTGTGGTATACGTGATCCGTCGTCGATCGTAAGATCCCAATAATATGGTCGAGGGCGATGGGTGACACATTCGTCTCACTTGTGAACCGGTGCCGCTTGTATGGCTGGTCTGCTTGGGTTCGCTTCGTAAGCTAAATTTTTAAGGGAACGTGCTTCTGTTACCCAGGCTGTGCTTAATGGCGTTGTTATTGTGTATACTATGACGACTCCGTGGCGCAGTGGCTTAGCAATGAGTGGCTGCGCTGGGGGTCGCGGGTTCGAATCCCGCACGGAACAAGTATTTGTATGCCCTACAAATAGTTGTTCCGGGTCTGGATGTTTGTCCTTGTGCAATTTATGTTTGTAAACTGCCCTCACGATACAGGAGAAAATCCTAGTGTAGGGGTAACGTTTTTTAAATAAATAAAACTAAAAAAATATGTTATTGTAATATTAGATTTAAAAAAATGACAATAAATGGTTTGTATATGATATATATATATATATATATATATATATATATGGTATATATATATATTATATATGTAGAAGTTATATGTAAGTAACTCTTAGTTAAAGCCGCATATGTAACAAACAACACAAACATACAGGTTTATATTTATAACATAACATACACCTGTCACCTAGAGGGTAGGCAGAGACTATAGAGTACCATATCGCACAATCCTGTCACACCTCTCTCGCTTCCTTCGCGTCCATATCTACGCATACTTACCATACTCCTCGCTTAAGGGTACTCTTAAGGTGATACCTTGAAAATTTGGTGGTTATTCTATTTCAAATATTTAGTTTATTTAGAGCGCGTGCTCGGTATAGTTATCTCATAATTTGCGTGAAGTAACATTGCATCACTGGTCATTTTGACACTCTCTAAGTCGTCCGTGAGCTTCACCGACAAAGAGCTAAGCCGCGCACCCAAAACTACGATTAATTTTCGAGGTATCCTCTTAACTGGCCCATCTTCAATATATCGCCAATATGATCCATACTCTAACTTACTCTACTCTAAATTTATTGACTATGCGTGATATACAGCAACAGTTACGCAGGTCAGCCATGCGCAACGTCGTGGGTTCGCTTCCCGCGCACAAAACACCGGATGCTGGCGGCCGGAAGCAGGTGTGGTGTTTGACTGACTGTTAGCTACGTCATGCTTGGATGTAGGTCGACGCATACAAAAAATACAAAAATTATATACTTCTATTATATATAAATAAATAGCAGAGTATTTACCACATACATTACATTACAACCTATGAAAAGTCCTCTGGGCGTACGCTCATAGGCCTTTCCCATGGATAGCCTCGTACATCATGCCAGTTTTTGTTATTTGGAGTTGTTATCAGAATAATACATGAAGTATTATTTTCGAACACAACTGACGAATTTTGAATCACTTTGAACAGTACTACCTTTTGTGGTGGCGCTGTCGTCGCACTACGAGAGAAACACATCGAAGCCTAAATCGCGCTATCTAAGTTCCGAAGTAAAGCAATATAATATATAGAATAGCTCCGAACTACCACACGGAGCATTGGCCGCTCCCCGGGCTGAATACGTTGCACGATAGAAGATCTCCCCCTTTACTTCCACGGACAAATTTAAAAAAAAAATACATCTGAACAAATCGACTTCGTTGCCACCGGCGCGAATAACATTGTAAAAAGCAATTTTAAGTACTGATTTATCACGTGGTCGGGCGTTAAGGAACACGTCGTAAAGGTACGGCATGTTTGAGAAATTAAAACATATTTCGACATTTTAAGTCCCACCAACGCGTAAAATGTTCTTTCTTTCTTAGTCCAAAAACCCTCTCATAAAGTAGGCTTATGCGCACAAGTCTCTATGTTTTTTTTTAAAGAATAAGGGTAACAAACGAGCACACAGTCCACCTGATGGTAAGTGGATGCTGTAGCCCATAGACATCTATATTTATCCTCGATTAAGAATCAAAACACAGATGCGTTGATTACCCCTGAGGACTAAGATGGAATGCCTCGTATCCAGTAAAAAAAGGTTGCCGTATTTCTATACTCACAATACGAAACATAGCAGTATTAAGGTGTTATTTTACTCTGGTATTCTGTGGGAGCGTGGTCCTTCCCCGGGAGCCGATCCATTCGTGCTTCAACCATAATATAGCTGCAGCATGGCTCCACCACGTATTAAATATATATATGTCTATGTAGGTTATTACTTCATTTTTACCAGAATTTTCGGTCATGGATTAAAAGAATATCTACGTAATAATCAACAGTCCAAAAAAGTCTACTACTTGACATAGACATTGGCACAGACATGGATTTGTCGATGGAGAAGAACTAAAGAAGATGTTCATCGATCGGAAACCATGAAATCTATTTAGCAATTTCCACAGTTGCTTCTTACGGCACTCAAACTCACAGGACAAACGGGTGATGGGTTCACTAAAAGATTTTAAATTCTGTTCCGAGTTCATTTGTACCAAAAAACTAACTTAATCTTTTTACTCTTTAAAACTTTATACAAACAGGACAGTGTTACATAAGTTACGTGATAACTCCTCGAAAACCACTATAATTGACGTTGCGTGAGCGACGTTATAAAATAATCACTGGTACTCATAGCTGACATCTATGTAAACCTGAGATAAACATGGGAAAAAGACGACAATGCCCGACGTTTACTTTGAAGAGATAAAGTTTTTGTCATGTATAAAAACTGTAAACCGCAGTTTCGCTCGTGTTTTATCAAAAACCGTCGAATTTTTTATTACACCATGGATTAAAAAGACCGCATATGCACTTACTAAAAATACTACATTCCCAGAAAATATACAAATTTTGACATGCACAAGGTTTAAAAACTTATTAAAATATTAAGGAATTTATGGATGATAATAACCCCCGGGAAAGGTGATTGCTACCAAGGTATTACTAATTTGTTTTGTGTTGTTAATTGTAACATACATGATTGTAAGCAGTTATTTAAAAGTCCCGCTGGGTTTCTTGCCGATTCTTCCCAGTACAGTAACCTTAAACGTACATTATAAAAATGGAATTAATGGAGATGATGTATCCGGAACAAAATTGAAATTTGTAAAAATTCATGGCTTGCATCTTGCATGCCGTAGTTTACCTGTTTCAGGTAGTAAATATGTAGTTGTAGAAAGGTTAGTTGTCGGTGACAGTTCAGTATATTTCTTATCAGAGATTTAAATCTTTCATGTACATATTTTCGTTAATGCTTCCTTTTTAATCTAAGTATTGAAGAATGCATTTCGAACGGCGTGAAACTACTCAATTCGGTTTCACAGACATCGTGAACTTTTCCTTCATTAAAGTGGGCAATTTTCTTATCCCGGACTATTCCTCGTACTTTCTGTTATGCTACAATGTATAATTATGTCACTTCTGGGTCTTTTGATAATACTTTGAACATAAATAAAACCTTATCTGATGATGAAGAAAGTCATAATAACTGTGGAAATTCAAAAGCACTGAAAAGAGGAAGGCAATAAGTGATTTTGTTTTAAACATGGAAAATAATGCGACTGATAACAGATGTAAAATTATCTTTCAGAGCGACTGTAACTTAAAAAATAAGCGTAGCACTTGATAAAAATAGTAGCTAAATGATTAATGTTCAGTGTAAGTGTTTAGCATCTGCTTCGAGGAACTGTTCCCATATCATTGCTGTAATGAATCTTCTACACACACTTTTTCGTGTCAATTTGAGGTTTTATAAACGGCACAAATTTTATATCATCTTGCTTGTTTCGACTGTCAGAAGGGCAATTCGCAAATGCACAAAGTTTGGTAGGCGTGACAATTTATTTTTTATTCGTTTAATTTATTTATTTTAACGATAAGACATGCGTTTAACGTTACCATACCCCCCACCATTATTGTTTGCACAGAGGAAACAGGTTAATTGAGGGAGTGACATAGGGTACAAAATCTTTCTCTTTTTAGTAAACCTTTTTACGCAGTCCGATTTCTCTTAATTACTTTTTTAACCTTTATGCTTGTATCACCTAATAGCCTCACAAATGCTACCTACCTACGTTTGACATGAGTTTGAGACAATATTTTAGTCTGAAGGCAGTGCATACCGCTGTATGCAACAGGACACCTTAAACATAACAACAATATTATTACAAGATGCGACAACGTCATTTTGTCCGCGCATGCTTCTGTAATTAGACACTGTTGGGTTTACAAAGCGATTGCGTGACATCCGCTTATTTTACGTGCGACTCGGGCCAAGGCACGAGTGATGAGCGTACGGCGAACGCTCGTCATTGAGTTCCTACTTCCTAGACTTGTAGAAACTGAATTACAAACGTACAGTTGAATTAAGCATAAGCTTTTAATGCAGAAGAATCGCGCTATGGTGGGTTACGATATTTTCTTATTGGTAATAACAATTTTCATTTTAGCGCTTTAAGTATGATAAAGTAATAGCATTTTTATTTTTAATCGAAGTAGACGTTGGCGTTTAATATTTAAAAAAAATATAGACCAGGGTAACCACTTACCACTAGGTGGACTGTGTTCTCGATTATCGCCGAAACCTGCGACAATCGTTCATAATTTCTTATACGCGATCGTGAAGTACTTTTTTTAGGGATGATGGTACTCACTGGCGTGGTCATCGTCCAGAAGGTTGTGGTAGCGGTGCTGCTTCTCGGATGCCTCGAGCCTCATCATCACGCCGGTCTCACCACAGCATCGCGACTACCTGCGAACGGAAAATAATCATCACCGTTATTAAATGTAATTAATAGAATCAGAGACATTACTTTACGGAAATTCATTATATCAAAGATATTAAAATGAATAAGATAAGATCCGTTATTTAATGAAAGAATGATGTGACGTGTCTAGTTTAAAGAGCACCTCCTGTCCTCCCACAACTGCGTGCACTATCCCCATCACCATTACACTAGCAGTCACACCACCGTCGATAATACAACCCGTGTTTCGCATTTTTTTATAGAATGAGGATGACAAACCAGCACACAGTCCACTTGATGGTAAGTGGATGCTGTGACCCATGGACATTAGACATCTACATTTATCCTCAATTAAGAATCGAAACGCACATGCGTTGTCACCCCTGAGGACTATGATGGAATGCCCCGTTTTTAGTAAATAAGAGTCTCCGGATCTCTACACTTACCAAGATATTTAAATAATAATTTAAGCTGCTACTTTACGCTGGTATTTTGTAAGAGCATGGTCCCACCTTGGTCAAGCCGACCCATTCGTACTACAACCATAATATTGGTGCAGCGTGGCTTTACCACGTAAACTGTAATCTCAGATTTACTTCATCTGAGGCTGTAATACAAATACGAATAAAAGCGTCTCCTTGTTACAGATCTGATTAATTTAATTCTCTGCAAGGAGTAATAGAATTTAACATTAAAATAACCCAACAAAATATCCAAATATTAGGCCAAGGTGTAATCATTGAAAAGGTAATGAAGCGGATATAGTCCGCCGTACTGCTTCGGTTAATGTTGCCTGACTTCATACGGCTTCTAAATGTATTTAATTTCTTTGATACGCAAGTTTCCTCACGACGATTATACACTGTCGAGAAAGTGGTTATTCTGCACGTAAAAAAAACCTAACCGTATACAATATGGCGAAACTAGTCGGTTATATAGTAAACAAGTTATAACAACCGCCACATCATTTAGCGGTCCACTACTGTGCGATTTACTCGGAGTTTTCTTCCTCACATGACTTCTTTGTGGAATTGTTTACCACCGGTGAATTTCCGGAGGACCTTCAAGAAAAACGAGCTTACTCCTTTTTAAAAGGCCGGCAATGCACCTGCAATTATCCTGGTATTGTAGTTGTTCATGAGCGGCAGTCGACACTTATATACCACAGGTGAGCCGCATGCTCGTTTGACCCCTATTCTATAATTCGTATTGGAATTCTGTATGGGACAAGTATTCGTATGGGTATGACCTACAAATAATTGTTCCGGGTCTGAATGTTTGTCCTTGTGAAATTTATGTATCTAAACTGCCTCCACGATACTAAATAAAAGCCTACGTAGCTAAAGTTTGTTAACGAAAAAGTACATGTGTCAATCCTACATAAAAAATGGGTTATTGTATTTTTCTTGCTTCTAAAGCTTGTGCTTAAATTGTATAATATTTACAAGCCTTTATACTTAAATGATATTCATATCTAGATGTTTTATCTAACCAGCTCGCTAATCGCCAACGTGGCTCCAGCTTCATGACCATAGAAATTTTCTTGTATCTATGTTCATGACCTACCGGATCCAATAGTGAATCTAAACGATTCTCTAATCAACTTAATTCCACATACAAAATTGCATTAAAATCTGTTCAAACGTTTGGAGGAGTTCAGTCACATAATCACGGATAGAAAAATATTAAAGATAAATGCATGTTTAGGTCTAGATTGAATACAGGAGACGTCTCAAATAATGGCCGTTTGTGGTCGCTACATATTAGCGGGAACTGTTCGTAACACCGGGTGTTGAATTACCCGGTCGTTTTACGCAATTCAATATCGAGGTATTAATCTATTTTAGAACTGACAGGCCGCTTGGTTTAGTTGTTGGTTGTTACCTAACGCAGAGGTTAGTGTATTCAACCAATTGAATCAATTAGATCGGCAGGTCTACTCGCTAATTTCGTTGACATCATAATAGTTACTTTGTTTTACATTGCGTTATAATAGCTTTTCTATTATAGCAGCGCTTCCCAAAGTGGTGGTTTCCTTGGGTTGAAATCGGTTTCCCGGAGGTCGAAGAAAAGTGCTTTTATTTACTTTTGCGATTTTAATTTTGTTTTAAAAAATAATTACCCACTTAAGTATTTTTACTTAATTTGTATTAATAATCATTAATTACATTTGATATTTATTCAATTTTATGCCTATTTATTTTGTTAAATTTTGATGAGAAAATGATGTCAAGTTTTCTCACTTAACTTTTAGCAAGCTTTTAGGATAGGATTTTTAAAGTAATTTGGCTATGGGGGTTTAAGGTATCAGTTCATTTAGGAAAAGGGGTCTCTTGCACAAAATAGTTTGAGAATCCGTGTATTAGAGTAACTACGACTAATACATACAACGCAATGAATTACAAGTAACTGATCATTTCGATGTCACCAAAGTTATCAATAGTGATACGAGTAGTCACTTTGTAGTACATTGCGTCTTATGCTATGTAGCTTTTCTACAGGTCTCGTACAGGTAAGCGAAGTGTACGTTGGCCTCCACTAGATGGCGTGACGACCTGGTAAGAGATGCAGTAAGTCGATGCATGCAGGTGGCTCAGGACCTCGTGGCATTCCTTGGGGGATGCCTATGTTCAACAGTGGACTTGTTAAGGGCTGTCATAAAGATAATGGTGATGACGGATATATATTTTTTTTAAATTTGTACTAAAAAACAGTAAATATACGTAAGTGTGGTTATCTGTATGTGTGCCTACATAGACAGCTGAGAAACACGTTTATAAAGCAGCGGCTCAGTCCAGTCTGCACTAAGCAGCTAAGCAAGCAGTCGATCACCAGTTCCTTCATCGACAGCATCACGCGAGTGTCCTATACGCAATACACAACATTAATTCACAAAAATAAAAAAAACTGCGTTGTTCGTCGACGTAAACACTCGCGTGATGCTGACGACGGGCGTGACGCCTGATAAGTGATAAGCGTTGCGCAATAACCTTGCAATGTAAATAGAATTAAAAGTTAACGTTTTAACGTTTTAATATCAATAGTGTTTACCTATAGCGTACTAAATACATTCAAATTTTGGGTATACTTTAAATCTCAACCCAAATAAAATAAACAATCTTGAAACAACCTCGCATGGAAAACCGTTTGAACTATTACTTTTTGGATTAATTAATACATGGTGTTAAGCATCGCACCTTTTACTATATTTAGAGGTCCAATACGCAAATTATTTAGCCGGCCAAGATGTCACTACAGGTTTAACCAATGGTTTCCTTTAAATCGAGTAATATCAACCTACAATAATTGGCAATCGATCAGTGTCATTGACATCTTCCGCGACTCTTTTCCAATCTATACATATAAATAAAATTGAAGTGTGTGTTTGTAATGTCAAAATAACAGCTGTTTACTAAAAGCATATGAAAGCATGTAGTAATTATAACAAAAACACAATTGTTAACATTTTTGTCTGTTTGTCCCGGTTAATCTCCGAAATCGCTCAGAATCGCTTCGGCAGATAGTATAAGAATTAGGGTTCCGCAAAACAATTAAAACCAATGAAATCCAATTGCAATAAATTACACCCGAGCGAAGTCGCGGGGAACCGCTTGTGTTTAAATATGTATCCGAAATTAGTAAGAGTTAGTAGAACTATGTTAATGATATAATTTAAATTTTGCAAGTTTAATGGTTCAGTAAATTTATGTAAGAGTGTTGTGTATATGTATCTGCAAGGGCGAGTGCGCAGTGCACACCATATTGTGAATATCGTCTTTATTGTTATTGAGTTATGTCGTGGGTATGTCATCTTAAAAAATAAATATATAAAACTGAAACTGCGGTACGCTACAAGAGTAAGTATCGGGTACGCATTTGACAATACTACGGTGAAGGAGGCAAAAGAGGTGTCAGGATCGTGCCAAATAGGATGTCCGTAGTTTCTGCCTACCCCACTGGGTGATGGGCATGTGCTTATCATATATGATAAACTGAAACTGTGTGTTATAAGTATAAGCTCTGATGTAAAAGAAATGTGCGGCTTAACCGATTGGCAACATTCTCAAAATCAGTTGAAAATGACAAATGTAAACGTGGTACACCAACACTTCAGTGTTTTAAAGCTGCAGTAGGAATGGGCCAGTTCAACCAGACCATCACGCACGCACAGAGTACAAGTGTGAAATTACAGCATAATGCTGCTGTGTTTCCTATGGTGATTGACGAAACCCAGATCCGTTATTGTTAACGAGGCATTCCGAGGCATTGTTAGCCATGGAAGACGATAGCGCCTGTGTATTTCGGGATCTTTTATAGGATAGAATGACAAACGAGCACACGGTCTACCTGATGGTAAGTGGTTGCTATGGCCCATAGACATCTACATCTATCCTCGATTACGAATCAAAATACAGACGCGATGTCACCCGTGAGGAATTACATGGAATGCTTCGTTTCCATTAAAAAGGGTATCCAGTTCTCTACACTCGTTTGTCACCCAATGATATAAAAAAATAACAGGAGTAAGGATACAAATATTTTTAAAGAGTTTGTTTATGTGGGAGACACAGTAAGACAATAACAAAATAGAAATTTCTACATAATAATTTCTTATACGTATTTAAAACACACACTAAATATGTTACACATTAAATAAAACACATTTTAAGGATATTATGGCATTTAAATCGGTGCTGCGAAGCACTCGATAAGTCGGGAGTTGAAAAAAAAATTAAAATTATATGCGATGAAATTTGTTTGAATCAAACCAATTTTCTATTTATAAGAATGAAAAATAGCTAACATTTACACAAGATTACGATAGGTTATCTTTGATAGTTCGATAATATAATAATTTTTATGCGTTTGGTTTTTCCAATAGTTTTGTGATAAATTATTTTAATTCGATTATGGCTGAATTGCCTTCTATTTTTCTTTTTTTATTAGCTCATAATCTGGTGCTAGATAGCT